AAAACAGATTTATTTTCTTACTGATTACAAAGTTTTTGTTGGTGTTGTCTTGATTTTGAGTTACAACTACAAAACAGCGCTATTCTTAACTTTAATGAGGTTTGCTTTGGGGTTTTTTTCAGGTAAATTGTGTAACATTTCGTACCACCACTCCCCCACACCCCGGCTTTTGTAACGGTCAAAACCTGTCTGAAATCTAACACTCATGAATCCTGATCTGGTCTTTTGTGTTTTGTATGAAACTGGGGCGTTACACTGTTTCTTCCCAGAAACACTTTTTCATGGCTGCAGAAGCTTTTCTGCGCACGATGACGAAGAGCAAATGTTTTTGTGGAGTTGTGCAGCTCGGAGGTCGGCCTGGCGTTGGTCTTGGTCAATGGCTGTTCTTGCTGTTTCTTGGAACCATTTTTGTTGGTAAGTAATGAACACTTTTAAATCAAAATCATCCGTAAAAATAGCATTACAAACCTCTGTTGGATAATCATGAAGTGCTGTAGTGACAATCTATCCAAAGTATCCATTTGCACGTATCTTGGGTTTCTAGGTCAAACAAGAACTTTTTTTTTCTCTTTCTCTCTTTTAAAAATTTATTTATTTTTTTTAGATCAACACATCCTAATTATCATCAATCATATTTATGGCCAAACCCAGCTTTGACTTACATGGAACAAGTTAACATCTCTCTCCTGATGCAAAGTTGCTTGAAATTGAAACCACAAAAAAAAAAATGGAAGCGCTTAAGTAGGATGTGAAACGTTGTGAATCAGTGAATAATATTCTGGATCAGTGGTTAGCACTGTTGCCTCGCAGCAAGAAGGTCGCTGGTTCGAGTCCCGGTGAGGGCACCCAGGATCTTTCTGTGTGGAGTCTTCACGTTCTCCCCGTGCACCGGGTTCTCCGGTTCTCAACAGTCCAAAAACATGTTGAAGTTAATTGGTGATTCTAAATTGTCCGTAGGTGTGAATGTGAGTGTGCTGGTTGTCTGTCTCTAAGTGTAGCCCTGTGATAGACTGGTGACCTGTCCAGGGTGTCCCCTGCCTTCACCCTAAGTTACCTGGGATAGACTCCAGCCCCCCAAGACCCTAGTGAGGATTAAGTGGTGTATAGATAATGGATGGATGTATTCTATAGAATAAAAATTCCTGAAATCTATCAATAACCCAAGTTGCTGCCACCTAAAAATAGATCAAGATCTGGTATTATTATGCATTTTTTCTTGTAAGCGTTTTTGTTTTTCTTATGTAAAGTTTAAAATCTCAAATCACTAATGTTTCAATTACATCATGTTCAATTTGCAACTCACAATGAAAATGTGAATGATGATAGAATTACAGGTGATGTTTTGTGATGGTATTCTGTTGGTGTGAAGTTCATTAAACAACATGTTTCAGGTTCTCAGGAGAAATTTGCTCCACTCAGAGGAAACGCCTCCAGGTCAGTGGGTGACCAACCACTCCTGCAGCATTCCTTCACAACAGGTTAGCAGTGTGTCTTTGTACTTCCCTGAAGAGGAAACTTCATCAAGTTGATATTCGTGCTTTGCAACAACACATTCATTCTACATTTTACTTATTTACAGTGTAAAAATCAAAAGCTCGTCACTACATGTCTTCTAGGTGCTGCGTCCACAGTATTGCTGCAGATTCCACATGTCACAAATGTGCGTAGGACAAAAAGGAGCTCTGACGCTGAAGACTCGGCTCTGCCTCCAGAGATTCTGACGGCCTCTCATCTCTCCTCTCTCAGAGATCTGCTGTCGGACAAGAAAATCACAGGTTGTGAAATGGCACCACACCTCCCCACTCAACTCATCACGGCATGATGAAATCAGAAAATCTCAAATGGAGATAAGATAAGCTGGACCAGCTACTCCACGTTTGTTGATTCAGTCTCATAGATACAAGGCAAGATTTTTAGTATTCATTTACTGTTTTGTTTTTTGTTTTTTTTTTAAAAAAAGGGAATTTGGAAGATTTTTTCCATCCATAAGTTCATTGAAAATTGTGATTTTTTAGCACAGAAAGCCCTCTTTGAGTTATTTAATCTAAAATATCTAAAAAACAGACTTCATAACCGAAATCTTTACTGATGCTAACATTTAGCCTTTAATAATATTAATTAGTAAGTATAAGGTAAGGCCATGAGAAACAGCCTTTGAGAATCATTTTAGTAGATTTTGTAACCTGACATTTCTAGATACAGTGCTGCTACCAGCTTTGGTAACGTTTTGGAGAGAAAGATCCTGTTTGTGTTCAAGCTGCTGTTAGTATGAGTTTGAGATAACACTTGTTGTCTTTCAAGAAAACATGCAAAGTGCCCAGGTAAGATCTTCAACCACCAGGTGGCAGCAAAAGAAAGAATTTCAGGGCTGCCCCGATGGCTGAGGACTTACAGCACATAACACATTGGTGCAAATAATCTGATCAGTGTCCCTTTTACTGCACGTCGTATTCTCCTGCTCTCCTTCCTGTGTTTTTCCACTTTCTATTTAATGAAGGCGCCGGTACGTCATCTTGCAGAACACTTTTAAAATAGTTTGCAGACCCATCCACTTACTGGTGTTTGCACAAACAGGAGACGCGTCAATAGAAGCAAATAAAAAAACGTGCATGAAATAGAATAAGTCATGGAGAAGGAGAAATGTTGTTGAGCCGGTGCGTTCTGTCAAAGGGACAGAAAGTTTAAAATAAGCATCTGTGGCCAGAATATGGAAAGTAAGAGTGGAGGGTTAGTCTTTGTACACAGTATCCTACATTCTCTGAGTCATCACAGGACAGTAAAAGGCTGCACTAAAACACTTTGCGTCTCTTCTCGAGCATTTTAGAGGGTTATTATTACAGGAAAGGGCGTTGTGTTGCTGTGTGTGAAATGTGACCTGACTTTACCGCATAGGCCAGAGTGGAAAACGTGGATATAAAAATGTGTTTATTTACAAAAATGTTCTTTAAAAATTACTTTGAAAAATGTTCTTTACTATCCGACAAATAGGAATATACTCCATTATAACAAAAATGAGGCTGCACGGTGGCACAATTGCCGGTTTGTGTAGTACACTGTAAATATGTATGTATGCGTGTTGTGTGTGTTTAATGGCAAACATATAATAAATAACTGTTGGAATGCAGAATTGTTCATTAGTAACAATGAGGCAGTGGATCTGTAAGTCTTGTCGGTGAGATGGCTCAGCGGTGTGGTTATCTGGCCTCCTATTTGGCACATTGGATTGCTGACCTTTGGCCTCTGACAGTCATACCCGCCTTTGTCAAGTATTTGACCCCTGTAAATGGCTTGTACTTCTCCCCATACACGTCAAGGCGACTCACTTTAAGACCTGATATGACAAGCTGCTGTATCTTCAGGTTGAGAGAGGGGTTCTCGTCAGGTTTGGGGGCTCCTACCTGCAGACTGAGACTGCCCCACAACCCTAATAAGGATGAGGTGGTGTATAGATCATGGATGGATGGATATGAACAAAAATTAACAATAAAATTAGTTGATATTAAACATTTAGTACCAAAATCATTCAACCATATCAATCAGTCCATTATAACAGAGTTTATAACTTTTTTTGGCCACATCAGGAGGTAACAGAAATGACAAACTTTCTAGAAACAGTTGATGTAACTTATCAAGGATAATATTAGCACAGGTACTTGCATTTTTTTATAAACTGCCAATGTGATGCACTGAACATTTACTTTCTTTGCAGTTCGCCTCGGCCTCCGTGTTTCTCTCAACGGTCCATCTGAACTCCTCGACCCTCAGCTCCTCCTTCTCCTGAACAAAGAGGTCAGCAAGTTGACTCCAGCATACACAGCATGAGTAGTGCAGGAACACCCCACAATGTTCAAAATATACAAACGCCGCCGTGTCCATAGAGGGGAAAAGGAGTTGCTGGTAGCGGTGGTGTTGTGTAAAAATAGAAACAGAATTTGGTGTATTTTTGCAGACGTCAGATATCAAACACTCAAAGCTGCGGAGTCCTCTTCGGTTAGATTGTAAAAACCAGACAAAGCGAGCGCCAGGAGTTTTTGTTTAAAGAAATGCCAAACAGCTCACACACCTTACAACTAATCAATGCTCAGCCGGTCTAAAGGTCAAACACTGAAACCTCTGTATTGGTCAGACTTTACGGTTTATCACGTATTCATCCGGAAACTATGGAGCAATCAGGCCAAGCAGCTGAAGTCACTTTAGTTTGGAGTACAGCGGTTTGGCATTTTAGACTGACAGCACCTTTTAATTAAAGAGCAGGCACTGCTGGATTAAAGGATTAGAGTCTGGAGAACTGAGCAGACTGTGGTGTAGCCGAGGGTTGGAGGAGGGGGGGAGGCATTTTTTGATCTTACAGTGCAGTCAAGTGAAGTAAAGCTCTTCAAGTTTTTAAGTTTATGTCTGTCATCTCTTTGTTTTCTGTTTTCCTCGAGAAGCCAGGAATCTACAACACTGGAGAGACGTCAGGACTGTTTTCAATGCGAGTGGTGAGAATGAAGAAGGTGGCCTCCACACCCTGAGAGTTCATCATCCAGCCCAAACCTTTAATTAGAGCTGATCTCTTTCTGCTCTGAGCCCATGTTGCTAATGTTATATGAGCGTCCTGGAGTAGTAATGGCGTTGTATTCAAATTAATAACATGTGTTTAGCAATCTATTAAAGATTAATTTCATTATCCTGAAACATGTCAGTGTTGTGGTTATTATCGGATGTTATATGAGCTTCCTGAAGTATTAATGACGTTGTATTCAAATTAATATTGTGTGTTCAGCATCTATTAAAGATTAACTTCATTATCTTTAAACATGCCTGTGTTGCGGTTATCAGATTGCCCCGCCCACTTTGCGCATCAGCCAATAGAAATGCGCGTCGTTCCTTCATCCCCACCGTCCCGATTGGTGCTCCTGATGACCGTGAGGAAGTGTTTGTATCAGCCGGACAGGAGGCTGGCTGGGAATCAGTTTGACGGATCACTGTTTGGAGAAACGGATCCGAGCAGCCGCGATTACGCGAGGATGGCGGACTCGGCCTCCCCGGAGGACACGCTGCCTGAGGAGGAGAGGGACTTTCAGAAGGTCGTATCTCTGATCGGAGGCAGAGAGAGGATCTATTTGGTCAGTGACGCCTGTAAAAGTAAAGAGGTGGACGGAGACGACGTTGGAATACTGCAGGAGTTCGTACGTGACATGTTCCACAACGGCAGCCCTGCGAGCATTAACGGCCAGCTGCAGCCGTGTCCGTCCGGCAGACACGACGACGCTGCAGGTGAAAGCGTTTGCTGTAAGACAGAGACCGGTAAAAGCAACGAAATCCCTCTGACAGCGAGGCCCAAGGATTTGGAATTGGGAGAGGAGCGAGAGAAAGAGAAGCAAGATGGAAATGTCCAAAAAACTATTTCGCGGAGGGCGAACATTTACAGCCTGAAGCGGGCGATAGACTCCCCAGTCATCATATTCATCTTTAGAGAGACGTTTATCAGCCAAAGTCCCAACGAAGTGTGTCTAAAAGAGATCCTGAGAGACATAAAGGCGCGCACCAAACGTAGCCGAATAGCCCGACCGGCTCTGATTGGATTAATACGCACGACACAGGAAAGCGCCGAGACGCGTCGGTGCGCGCAGCAACTGGAGAGTTTGATCCGCGCGGTGTTCCATAAACAATCACCGGAGACAATATGGGTCGGCTGTTTCATCCCGCAGACAGAGGACAAAATGCTCAGCATCAAGAAAAACACCTGCAAAGTCATATACTCCTCTCAAACAGCAGGTGTAATAACACACACGCTCCATTTTTATGTTTTACACGTAAATGTCCAACGAAAAAGTAACTTCCTACTTGCATTTAGTGTATTCTAATGTGTGATTTGTGAAATCTGCTTTTTGTTTGCACAAACACACACAGGCACACGGTGACACACATGTCACATGTCTGTCAGTATGAAGTTTGAACCCTGGCAGCCTAAATTTAACCAGGACACCATGCAACTTTGAGGCATTATGAGATCACCAAAATGGAAAAACAAGCAGAGAATATGTGGACAGACTGATAGATAGAGCAGCCTCAGTTACGATACGATCAGGGTACACACTCTAATGAGTATTATTGAAGTTGAAGCACCAGGCAAACAGTAATTATCTGTGTTAACGCACTCTATTGTGCAGGTCAGTCCATGACATTCACAAGACCACACATTTTTGTACACATTTTTTCTTCTCAGGCATGGCCACAAAGGCCTGGAAACAAAGGGAGCATTGATGAAACAATCAAGCCCTTAGATAAGCTGCCAAATTGTTAAAGTGCTTATTATTGCCTTTCAGATCATACCGGGGATAGAGGGAACCCACTTCTCTGGCCATTCCAATGTTGGTTTAGGCCTCAGAGAGAAGAAGACAGAGGCCAGGCCAACAGCTCTGCAAGCAGCAGGCAAAGAGGTAGCATGAATCGTCCAAAAATTCAGTCTAACCGATACGGACACAGGCATTTAGATTCCCAGTGAATGTTGTCTTTAAACTATTCTTCACTATTCTTCTTGTTCCTTTTATTTCTCTGGATCCACTCTATACACTTGTTCAGGGTTGTCATGGGATTGGAGATTGCGCAACATAGGCAAAAGGCATAGATACAGGTTGCCAGGCTGTCACAGGGCCAGCAGACAAACACATTTACTCAGTCACTCTGTACTGGCTTATCTTGGTGTCAGATTTACAGGCTGTGGTGTAGAAATAAAAATCTGTAACTAAGGGAAGCAAAGGAGACCAGTTCAGCCTCAATATCATTCCAGTCAGATTATATAACACTGTATAGATTACATTTTATTCAATTTCACAGTAAGTCACAGTGTTTTGTTTTTTAGGCGACACTGGAAGCCCCGATGAAGGCGTCCCTCTGAAAACCGATGCCTTGTCTGCTGAATCTCATGTGAATGGAAACCCAGCTGGAGAAGACAGCTGATGTCAGAACACATGACCTGCAGGTCCATCACTGTGAACAGTCGTGCTTTTACTGTGAAAAGTTGGCTTATTGGTGCTACAGAACCTTACCATATTACAGCCGACATGATATCCGAACTGAAGCAGTATGCTGCTGGTGTACGCACTGTGTTGTACAATAGTTAGCCACAAAGGGATGTGTTGTACTTGTAACCTGCTGATCAGTTTAATACCACAGTATTTTTTGTTGTTGTTTTTTTCTTTTTGACAGAAGCCCTTTGATAGAAACTTGCATATTATAGGCTGAGACTGCAGTAAAGAAAGGCAGGCTTACGGCGTACATACACCTTTAACATGACATTTAATCAAGTACAGGAGTGGGTAACTATCTGAAAGAAATGGCTCAGTCCCAGCTCACTGTGTGTCAGCTGGTTTGTGTGATTTTGATTTATCCAGGAATATACACTACTAAAGCACAATATCGACAGATATATTAGGGGCCTTAAAGTGGACCAAGCTTTATTACTGTACCTGACCGTAAAAAGGATCTTTGCTCCAAAATGTTAGTTTTTACTTTGTGTATATTTTGCATTTTCTCATGATGACACAGCTCTTATGGGACCAGATAACCTGGATCACCGGATGTAGATTGCAGATATAATCCTGCCATTTCCGGCTCTTTTAATGTGGCTCTCTTCCCCTTTCGCTGTCTGCAAAATGTAATTCGTTATGGGAAGCAGCAACAACAACAACATACCACAGTAATTTCGAGTTTTCCTGATGATTTAGATCATGCAGAAAGGCTACCCTAGTGGTTTTTTAAGTGAACGAGCCGCTTTTTTCACAGTTCTCGCCTCTATGTGTGCAAGTGTTTCACCAAAACAGTTCCACCTGTCACTATTTTAAGGGGACTCCTGGTGCTGTATCCTACATTGAGCTCCCCCAAAACAACTGTGATTGGTTTAAAGGAATCCAGACGAACTCGTGTTTTTCTATCTGTAGCAGAATGATAATGAGGTGCAGCTTCGTGAGACTACAGGCCAGGTGAAGCACTGCACCTGCTGCATAGAAAACTGGTGTAACTAGGGATCATAAGCGGCCAAGCAGGTTTTTATGTGAATTTTTTGGAATTCTCACTTTCATTTGATAGGATCGTGTGCCTTAGAGAAGTGCTATTGACACTAGCATTATCTGTTGTAGAAATGTAACTCTGCTTGTCACTTTAAATGCATTTCTGTCAGCTACTGGTTCGTCCATTCAAATAAAGACATTCAAACTTGTGTGAATGTGCAGCTCTGTTTTAAGACCCCTCCCTGAGCCTGGTTCTGATGAATATCTCTTCCTATTAAAAGATAGTGGTTCCTTTCCACCAACACAAATATAAATGAGAAAAAGAAATATAAATAAGGAAAAATATGACATGAAATTAAACTTCATTTAAAAAAAAAAAAAGAAACAAATTTAACAAAAAGAACACTTGTTCAATGGAAATCAAGGGATTTTTTGATTTTGTTGGCCTTTCATGTGTATTTTTGGAGGGTTGTAGCTTCTAAATTTGTCAGATTAATCGCTATAATTAATGATGCTATAGGGTCTTAGCCCTAATATTTATTACAGTAAGTATAAAAAAGTAATTTTATATAATTTTTGTGTCAATCATTAATATTTCATTTGCTTAGGTAAATTCACACCATAAATAACACTGTAGGCTTTTAATTGCACAAATTATGTCTGCGAAGTTAGTCCGCCAGTCTTATTTATCTACTGGAAAGCACGCTGGCGCAACAGCTGTTGTTTTAAATGTTATTTCACTTCAAGGGCTATGACTTGACTGTCACTTGAGCAAACTGTTCACACGAGAGCCAAAAGAGCTGTTTCACGTCAGACTGCCTTTTGAAATGCCGGTTCATAAATTAGATACGTAGACATAAAATATATTTTTACAGTGGTTTTATTTATAAATTTGATCAAAATGATGCTATTTTTAATTCTTGAGCTAATGAGTTGTTCAACAGTAGAGTACAAAATTTATAAAATAATATTTTAGTTGATCTTTTTACTCAGGCGCAAAAGAAGCCAGCCAATCAAAAGGTCCTTTAGAGGGGGACTTGCGGTGTTGAACAAAAAGAACCTAGCAGCGGCTGCGTTTGGTTCTACCCGTTGTGCTTGTTCAGATACTACAAATCTTTTAATTTTCTTTCACTCCCTCGAAAATCGCACGGAATTCCGCCGTCGAACCAGGAGCGAGGGGCCGAGGAGGAAATAAAGATCCAACCATGATAACATCCGCCGGTAAGTCGGAGAAGGTGTCTTTATTTTGGTAGCCTTCAACTTTAGCTAGCTGCCATTGATTTAGCTGAGTCACACAGCTAATGTAGCAGTCAGTCAGCCGTTGACCGGTGACAGCCAACAAAATCACAATTTATTCCGTGTTTCACCGTGTTTTTCAGGAAGGAGACATGCGTTATTTACCGCAACGTAGTTAAAGTACAGGAAAATTAAATTCAGTTTCAGCATCGGCCATGCTAACAGTCTTGTTGAAGTAATCGGTCCTGAGTGCTCTGTAGCAGCTACTCAGCTTTGATCGTTACAAAAACACATTTTTCTTCATCTTTGAAGCAATTCCCCAAGACATACGTTTGAATTAAGCAAGTTTATTGAACAACTTTGTATCTTACATTGACTATATGTTAAGTGGTTGACAGGCAATGTTATAGAATAATTAAAAATGATAGACCTAAACAGTTCAAAACGGCAAAATATAAGAAAGATGGAAGTAGAGTACGAGTAGAGTAAATGATCAAGAATAAGAAATGTCAAATTAAACATCCTGTGTGCTACTTACAGTTTTGCACAGAAGCTCTGATTTGACATCTGGCCTGTACGTTGTGCTATTCTCTGCTACATTTTTTTAAACACAAAATAAATTAATACATTAAAAAAACAAACCAAACGTTTTGGCCTTGGCTGTAACCTGCAGGTGTATCATGAAATGTAACTGTAGTCCCAGTATTTGAGCAATGCCTTCCTTTGAATGGCTGGCCTTTTTATTCACAAGCACCGGACATCTACTCTATAAATACACAAGTTGTGTATTAAGCATGAATTTATTAGCTACTACTGTATTTAATAGTCTATGAGGGAGAAGTATTATATGTTATATGCCATTCTATTGAACATGTAAGTTCCTAGGCTGCATTGAAATACAGTATGTAGCTGTTATGGTTTGACTGGATATCGATACTTATTGGACTGTATATTCAACATTTTCCAATTATTAGTATCGTTATTTTATATATATGTGTGTGTGTGTGTTATTTATTTATTTTTTGAGGATGTTTAAAATCGATACGTGGATGAAAAAGATGACATGTGAACCTAATCAATTTCATTTTTCTCCCCTCCTTTTTTTAAAGCTGGAATTATCTCACTCCTTGATGAGGAGGAGCCACAGCTCAAGGTAAGAATGGGTTGCAGAGTAATGAACAACTGATGAAGTGGCAAACTCATATGCAGGTGTTTTATGAAATCGTAGACATCTGTTTATAACAAGCCATCATATCATATCATAAGCCAGTGCAAAAGATTTTTGCATGTACATATTCAGCTGCTTATTTAAAAACAAAAAACAACAACAAAAAAACACTCATCTCAAGAATTGCATAAGTGGTTTCGTCAAAGTCAGCATTGCCACTGCAGGTTTCCTCAGGGTTTTGGTGCGCTGCATGTTGTTACCACATGAAGTATTGAGGCTAGTAAAGAAGTTTTGGGATCTGCCTGTCCTCCATTTGCAATCTTTGATTTGACATCCGATGCAAGATGGAACAAGAAAACAAAGACCTCTTCGCACCTTGTTATGCATGCCTCAGATTTTGATTGTGGTTCCAGTCAGCTTTGCTAAATGCTACTCTTCTACATTCCTTTGAAATTTTAGTAACTGTAACATCAAAGTTGAATTTTCATGCCGACTGCAACATAAATAATGTTTTGTTTTTGTGCCTAAACTATGAATGATAAATTAAGGTAGAGTGTGCAGTGAGACAGATTAAATCAAAGATGGTACGTGTGTAATTGTGTATCTGTAATGTGTTTGTTTTTACTTGCAGGAGTTTGCGCTGCACAAGCTAGATGCCATTGTGAATGACTTCTGGGCTGAGATTTCAGGATCTGTAGATAAAATGTAAGTACTGTTAATGAGTCTGGAAGCTGTAGTTGACAAAGGAATGCAACATAGGACAGAAATAACTTAAGCTTGGTTTACTTAATTCTGTGTTTGTAGCATGGAGAAAGATACATCCTTTTAAATTCAATTGTGATACGAAAATGCGACTTGCTAGTGCTTGTTTCAGTCCTGTGTAACCGGCTCATGTCTCCCCACAGCGAGGTCTTGTATGAGGATGAGACTTTCCGGAGCAGAGAATTTGCTGCCCTGGTGGCCTCTAAGGTTTTCTACCACCTCGGAGCCTTTGAAGAGTCTTTAAACTATGCTCTTGGTGCTGGAGATCTCTTCAGCGTCACAGATGACTCAGAATATGTGGAGACCATCATTGGTGAGTTTTCCAACAAAAATACTCTCTTTGGATGCTGCTATGTTGTGTTTTGTATCAACAGCAGGGAACATAAATAGAAAAAACTGAAAATCTTTACTTTGACTTTACACTTCAAGCTCATCAGCAATTGTTTTCGTGTGGTGAACACATATATTTAATAGATATTGACCTGAACACTAAAGATGGATTTAGGAGTTTAATGCGTTTCTTCTGTCTGCTTCAGCCAAATGCATTGACCACTATACCAAGCTGCGGGTAGAGAATGCTGAGCTGCCCGAGGATGAGGAGAAGAAAAGCATCGACCCGCGCCTTGAGGGCATCGTCAACAAGATGTTTCTGCGTTGCCTAGATGACCACAAGTACAAGCAGGCCATTGGTATCGCCCTGGAGACCAGGCGGCTTGACATGTTTGAGAAGACCATCTTGGAATCGGTCAGCACCTGTTGTCATTCATGGCAGATTTGAGATTAATTTGTAATGCTTAATAAATCTGTAATACTCAGCAGAATAGCCCTGAGTGTTCAACAATAATCTAGCATAGTTTGCATGAGAAGGCCATAAAACTTTGATTGAGTTTAGTGTAAGAAATGTGTTAACAGTTGTCTTGATGACATGACTTGTACAGGCAGAATTCTCTTACAAGAGTAAAGACTTGGATTTTGATTACTGCTGTTAATTAAGTTGTTTCTTTATTGTCATGAGACGTGTTAGTAATTTGCAACTTCTTCTTTTCTCCTCTCATTCAGAATGATGTTAGCGGCCTCCTTGCCTACAGTCTCAAGGTGTGCATGTCACTGATGCAGAACAAGAAGTTCCGTAATGAGGTTCTGCGGGTGCTGGTCAAACTCTACATGAACTTGGAGAAGCCTGATTTCATCAATGTCTGTCAGGTAACCACTGGACTGTCAAACATTTATGTATCATCTCTCCGACTATTCCTGCTGTGCAATACATGCATGTTATTTGCAAAAGAATTTATTTTACTTAGTTCTCTTTTCTCCCTATTTAGAAGAATTGGTTTTGACCATGTTCAGTTTTTTCCAACAGAACCTTTGATTTGCAACACAGTGGCATTCATTTGGGACACGTTTCCCTTATGTCTTGGAAGTTGTAATTATCACTGTTTTGATGTTTTCAGCACTACTTTTGGAATTTTAACAGGGACTTTTACATTTTTTCTTTTTGTCTTGGTTCTTTGATTACTTGCAGTGCTTTTATGTATATATGTAAGTTGCATATGGTCATTGACTTGATGCTTATTTAATATTGATAAATGAAGTAAGATTTTTTTTAACCAATGAATGGTCATAAAATAGTAAAACATTTGTTTCTAATTCTGAACAACCCAAGTTAATGTATTTAGATTGTTTTACTCGACTGACAGTCCACCATCCAGAGATACTCTGTTGACTATGCAGTATGACAAAGAAACCATGAAATCCTCTCACATGGGAAGCTGGAACCAGCATGTTTGCCATTTCTACTAAATGTAAAACTAAAAACTGATTATCCAATTAGTTGTTCTTTTCCTTCTTGACCAATTGTTATTCAACTAATGTTTTTAAGTCGACATATACAACTCGTCTTCTTGTGATGGTAAAACCTCACCAATGTTTGCCCTGAGTCACACTGACAGTTATTCATGTGTTTAATGTTGTGTAACAGTTTTGGGAACTGCTATTTACTGTTTGCTCTAGTTTCACAGTATTTGGTTTGCCAAAGCTTTCTGA